AGGAAGGAAGGAAGGATGGAAGGAAGGAAGGAAGGAAGGAAGGAAGGAAGGAAGGAAGGAAGGAAGGAAGGAAGGAAGGAAAGGAAAGGAAAGGAAGGAAGGAAGGAAGGAAGGAAAGGAAAGGAAAAGAAAAGAAAAGAAAAGAAAGAATGGTATATTCTTTTGAAATTCACAGATGCTCAAAGTTTTTCACCTATATTTAAGTTGCAGGAAGATTGAATAATACATATCAGCTGAATGATAAATGATGTGGGTTGGGTTTTAGCTTTCACAGACAACATATTTGCCCATCATACTATAGGTAGATTGATTATTCTCCCTGAGGAAACCCTGGAAACTTCTCAGCCACCAGAACCACCAGCCAGCTGCCCAGCTCCACAGGAGGACTGACTGCAGTCATCTCAGAGTGGGTCTGCAGGCTACCCATTCCCAGTGCTTTACTCTTACTTCAGAGCTATGCAGCCCATTGTGATGCAGGTGTAAATAGAACAATGCCCAGTCTGCCTAGACCTGTGCTGCTTTTGCTAAGTGGTTAGTTGCCTGTCTAGTAGACCCAAAACACCTTCTGTTGAGAGATGTGAAGACTGGCAGTGTACTATTTGGAGATTATTCTCCTAGTCACCATCCAGGAGGTTCCCAGACGCCTATTTCAGCATCACCTCTGCGTAAGTGTGTGTGGATTACTGCAACCTAGGTATGAGCCACATGGAGGAGGGACTGACTGAATAGTTCAATTAATACTGGCCATTTGAGGGGAAAATGTCTACTTTCTTTCCATCTTCTTTTACTTATAGTTTTATTTCTTGAACCTCAACTATAAAGATTGGGAAAACTTAATACTTAGTGCCTGAATTTCCTTCTCTTAAAAAAATAATCTGTCAATTTGATCTTAAAATGACACTGTAATCCAAGCAATGGTTCAAGGCTAGCTAGGGCATAAAATGTTCAGGAAACCCCATCTTGACCAATGGCTTGATGCAGTGACACACCTGTTATTCCTAACCACACAAGGAAATGCAAATATAAGGATCACAGTCCAGATCAGAGCAGGCATAAAGCAAGACCCTCCACCTCAAAAATAACCAATTCCACAAGAGACTGGAAGTATGGCTCAAGTTGTACAGACTCTGCCTAGCAAGGTATGGGGCCCTGAGTCCAAACTCTTATATCACCAAATAAAATAACAGAATGCTCTCTGGATTAATTTTTTGATAGAACTGGGATTTGAACTCAGGGCCTTGTACTTGCTTTGCTGACCCATACTTTGTTCTGTGTGTTTTGGTGGGGGAAGGGGGTGGATGTTTTCTTGTGTGTTTGTTTTGCTAGTCATTTTGGAAACTGAAGTCAGGCCTACGACCAGATTTAATATGATATATCTCTGCCCTTCCTTTTACTAAAAATGGCCAACAGCTGGGCGCCAGTGGCTCACACCTATAATCCTAGCTACTCAGGAGGCTAAGATCTGAGGATTGTGGTGCAAAGCCAGCCTGGGCAGGAAAAGTCTGTGAGACTCCATTAAACCACCAGAAAAACTGGAAGTGGCACTGTAGCTCAAGTGGTAGAATGCTAGCCTTGAGCTGAAGAGCTGAGGGACAGCGCCCAGGCACAGAGTTCAGGCCCCATGACTGACCAAAAACAAAACAAAACAAAAGGCCAACAATACTGCTTTTTCTTTCTCTCTTTTCCTTTTCTTTTATTGTGTTGTTGTTGTTATGAGTCATAGGGCTTGACCTCAGGGCCTAGGCACTGTCCTTGAACTGTTTTTGCCACACTGTTTTGAACCACAGCATCACTTCTAGGTTTCTAGTGGTTAACTGGAGAAAAGTCTCACAGAGTTGCCTGCCTAGGCTGCCTTGAACCATGATCCTCAGCTCTCAGCTTCCTGAGTAGCTAAGATAGATTATAGGCATGAGCTACCAGCATCAAACTTCTTCTCTTCTGCTTTCCTTTCTCTTTCCCTTTCCCTTTCCCTTTTTCCGTTCCTTTTCTTCCCTTGCTTCCTTGCTGGCTTCCTTCCTTCCTTCTTCCTTTCTTTTTTGTACTGCCCCCAGTGGATTGAACTCAGAGACTCACTGCTATCCTTAAGCTCTTTGGCTTAAGGCTAGCACTTTACCACTTGAGACACAGCTCCACTTCTAGCTTTTTTGTATCTAATTGGAGAAAAGGCCCATGGGACTTTCTCAGATCTTAGCCTGCTGAGTAGCTAGGATTACAGGTGTGAGCCACTGGTTCCTGGCAACAATGCTGCTTTTTCTGATGAAATTATACTGAAATTCTGCAGTAACTATCTACTGAATTAATGTTCATTCAATTGTAACTGGAAGAACATAGAAAAATATCTGAGGGGGAGGAAAGCTGGTTAAGAGAAACAAGTGAAGCGCCATAGAATAAGTTATGGCCTATTGCATTGGATTCCTCTAGGCTGTCCTTGTTCTTGCTGCACAATACAAGTCCTTACCTACAATATTTCTCTATATCTTGCCTGCTTAACTCAATGTATAGGACCTTTGATACCTAACAAAAGGCATGAATTATTGGAAAAATATAAACTATGATTAGAAAAGATGTATATACAATCATAGTAGAATAACTTATAACAGAAGCTAGCTCTGCATCCCCACAACAGCCTCTAACCATCCTGCTTCATGCCTCTGCTCTAATTCATGCCTCAGTCAACATGTTCTTGAACTTCCATTACACATCATGTGCATTAATCAATCCTTAATGTGGTTAATCTTTTTAATACTAAAATTTGCTTTTAAAGTATGAGTTTTATAGGCCTCTATTATACCTATAGTATGAATAAAGCATGAGAGTATAAATAAGATTTTCTTTATTGACATATATGTGTACATATATATATACATAAACTACAAAAGTTCAGCTCATTAATATGAATAATGCTATTACATATTTCACTGGTCATATCTCTGCTCCAACCTCCCATCAAGAAGACAGTAGTCATATCATTTCCTCTGACATTCGAGATAATGCTGGTTTCCCTATCTGGCAGTTTCAGGGTAAGGACTAGCTGAGGACTTGTGACTTGAGCACTCATTGAGGCTCACCAAGAACAATTTGGCTCAAATGTGGACAGCAACCCCCTCCAACTATGCTTTGTTTCTATGGCTGTGACAAAAGACCTTGGCATATAAGCAGCAGCAAAGGAGAAAGGATTAGTTTTGAGTCACAGTTTCAGTGCAGGGTTATTCTGTCCATATTTCTGGGCCTATGGTGAGGCAGAGCACCCTGGGGAGGAAATAGCAGAGCAGAGATGATCACCTCATAGTGGCTAGGAAACAGAGAGAATGAGGAAGGAACTTGGGACAAGAGATAGCCCCCAAGAACACGCCTCCAGTGCTCCAACTCAGCCCCACCCTAAAGTTTCTACCACATCCCAATACTGCCTGTAAATGATGAGTCTGATTTGAGAGGAGGAGGATTAAAGAAAGGGAACAAGATGGGGTAGTGAGAGGGTCAATCTAATCAAAGAACATTTATATACATGTATGAAAATGACTAAATGAAACCCATTAAAATGTACACACAAAGAATATGTATACACAAGTAGGAGTCCATCAGCAGATTAAGCCAATGATTATGTCAATGAGCCCTCATGATCCAATCACTCTCAATGACTGACTCCAACAAACAGAGTTTTGAAGATGATACTCACTACCAAACTGTAACCGTGTAGCTGTAAGACACTAACGCATGAACCTCAACAAGTAACAAGTAAATGTTAGAACTGAAATTAGCTTCTTTTCTCTCTTGGTTTTATATAGAAAAGGCTTCATCATGAAAAGGAGGAAGCTCAAACTGAAGTGAGTTACACCTCCCACAGTGGATTGTGACTCTTGGCTGAATTGAGGTAAGAATGGCTGGCTATTATGAATTTAATGTTGCTACAAATATGGCTGTACAAGGTCTCTTCAGAGGGCTGCAGGTGTGACTCGGGAAGTAGATCACCTGTCTAACAAGTATGAAGTCCTGAGTTCAAACCCCAGTACCACCAAAAAATAAAATTACTTCGGTACTGTACTTTCAGTTCTTTGGGATATATACCCACGAGTGGACTTCTGGGCCATTTCTATGTCTAATTTTTTTTTTTTAGGAATCACTGTACTGTTTCCCACAGAAACTGTATCACTTCCACCCACCAATTACACAACAGTTTGAGCTTCTCTGCATCCTTGCCAACATTTACTGCTTTAAAAAAAATAGTTTCCATTGTATGGATATGAGTTGGGAAGTCACTGTATTTGTGATTGGAAGTTCTTTAGTGATGACTGGTGTTTAGGATGTTTCCATGGAAGTTATCGGCCATTACACTTTGAGGTCTTGTTTCCTTTTTAGAACTGTCCTGAGAGATCAAATAACAGTCACTGTTGTCTGTTGTAAGCTCTTTCATAAAAAGATGAAGAGAGTAGGGATAAACTGTCATTGATCAGAAATATATCCACTATTTACTTCCCAACCAAGAGCTAATGCTCAGGTATGGGTTAATAGTGTGGAAGAAGTATTCTCAATCTAGGAGAGTTTTGTTACTTTACTTAAACAAAAACATTTGACACCTATACATGATGTAAAAGCAAGTGTTCCCATTAATTAGGAAAACAATGGTCTGGGGAAGGGAGTATATTGCAAAGTCTCCTAGAGACTAACTTAATCACCCTAAGTGTTGCCACCCACACTGCCACTCACTTTTATTACAAGTATCTGTTCTGGAATATTTATAGTGCCTAATATTCAATATCCTTTTTTGTTACTGCTGTTTGTTTGCTTGCTTCCTTACTATCGGTCACCCTTTAAAGTGTACATTTTAAGGCCAGGATCTCCTCAGTCCTTTTTAATGAATCCACAGTGTTGGGCACAGTGTCAAGTATACCCAGAATGTGTAAAGTTGTCAATCAATGGAGAAATGAAATAACTATTTTCTATATATCATATCATTTATTGTATTCTTATTCCCTCAATTTTCTAATTTTTACCTAAGCACAATGAAGAAAAACAACAAAAAGTTGGATGATCAAGATGCTCATCCAAAGACAAATGAACAAGATTCCAATCCAAAGACTGATGACCCAGTTGCCCAACTCAACCCACAGCCTCATCCCCCTGGAAATATTAAAAAGAAGATGGATGGAGGAGAGTATGCTCCTTTTGTAGCTCCTCCCACATTAGAGAGCAATTTCATTCAGGTAAATAATACTTGAGTTCTGAATTAAGTTCAGTATTTAATTTTCTCAAAGACAACAAGAACAACAATAAAAAGGCTAGGAAGAGAACTGTTTTCAATGTGGCAAGAGACTACTTGGTATCATTAAGGAGAGCAATTTTGAAAACTTTAAACAACCTGAAATAATTAGTGTTAAAGTGACATCCATATCCCAACAAATTCTTAGGAGGATTTCTGTCCTAATTCCACTGTAATTTTCATTCTAACATAATCTTCCCAGAGTTACACAAAATGATTTTTAGAACATCCTGTCACAGGAAAACATGCAGCTCACTAACTTCTTTTTTAGACTTAGAAGCAAAACATCTACGGTGGAAGTAGAGGTTAGCTTGCGGGTAGAGGGCTTGACTAGCATAGCAAGGCCCCTAGGTTCAATCCCAAGCACTGTGACAGGGATGGAAAGGGGAGGAGAAGAGAGAGGAAGGAAGGGAAGGGTGGGGGAAGGGGGGGGAAAGGAAAGGAGACAAGTAAAGGAAGGGAAGGAGAAAGGAAAGGAAAAGAAGGGAAGGCAGTGATCTGTAACAAACTAGAAATTAAACTAATTTCATTCAGTTCTTAAGGAAAAATCTAACAATATCAGGACAATGGCTTCCTTTCTCTGAGAATGTATTTACATGATGAATGAAACCATTCAGTGCACTGGAAGCAGAACTGACTTTCCTCTAAATATTCAATATTAGAATATACAGATAAAGATCAGAAGGCAGAGATTGGGAGGATCAACGAGACCCCCATCTCAACAAACAAGTCAGGAGTGGTTATATATGCCTATGATTCTAGGTATGCTGGAGGCAGAGGTAGGAAGACATAATCTGAGGCCAGTCTGGACAAGAATAAAAAAAAGTTAAAAAAAAAAAAGACCAGGAGCACGGCTTAGGTGGTAGAGCACCTGTATAGCAAGCCCGTGGCCCTTGAGTTCATACCCTAGTACCTAAAAAAATATATTCAGGCACAGAGATGGAGAAAAGAGCTCAGTGTTGTGGACCACTGCTGTCACCTCACAGAAATGCCACAAGCGACTAGCATTGAACACAGAGCTTGTAACTGGAGCAGCTACTCAGCCCATGTGGCAGAGAATGACAAGGCATGCTCCTTCAGAGGGGCCTTCATCCTTCACAAACATGTCCTAAGTCCTCTCCCCCCCAACCCCCCGCCCCGCCCTGCCACTGGCAGGAGATGCAACCTAGAGATGCCTTCCAAATATGTCTTTCTGACTGAAAATGTGGCTTAGTGGTAGAGTACTTGCCTAGCATGCATAAAGCCCTGGGTTCGATTCCTTAGTACCACATACACTCTACCACTCAAGTGGCAGAGTGCTAGCCTTGAGTAAAAGAAGCTCAAGGACAGTGCCCAGGCCCCAAGTTCAAGGCCCAGGACGGGAGGGAGGGAGGGAGGAAGGGAAGGAGGGAGGGAGAGAGAGAGAGAGAGAGAGAGAGAGAGAGAGAGAGAGAGAGAGAGAGAAAGAAAGAAGGAAGGAAGGAAGGAAGGAAGGAAGGAAGGAAGGAAGGAAGGAAGGAAGGAAGGAAGGAAGGAAGGAAACCAAATACTTCTTTCCTACTAACAATATTTTCAGTTCTCCACCTCTCTTCCTTTGCCCTGTGCAATGTATCTTCTGCACACTAATCACACAGCACGTGTGTCACACTGGAAGGCAGGTAGTGAGCAGACTGAGCACTGTACTGTGTTAAGTCATACCCTATACCCTTTTGCTCTGTCACATCCAACAAAATAGTACATTCAAACAGCAATAGTGACAACTACCAGCAACTCAAAAGAAATGTCTAATAAATAGAGTAGGGCTACAACCTCTTTCGGAACATACTTGGTTTGAATTGGTGAGTTGTACGGGAAGTGAGATTCAAACCTGGGGCCTTTGCATAAGAAAACATGTTTTTAACCATTGACTTATGTGTCTAACCCCTTAAGTGTGTTTTAACTGAACCAGTTTTCATACATCTGAGAAACACAAGTATAGCTCCTCTCTGGCTTCCCTCACATTTCTGTGTACTCATTTTCCAGCCTTTTCTTTTATGAATGAGCAGCAATTACATTGTTTGAGTTTTTGGACTTTGGGGTTTTTACTGATTATATGCCGAGAAACCTGTCCTGTCCACCTAGCAAGTTTGGCTGTACATTGTCCAATTTGTCAGCTAAGGAAAGACTTCCAGGGCTCCATATCCAGAGATGGGCTATTAGTTAGCTGACCTATTGGTAAGTAATCAGGAAGATTGCAAATTTGTTGTTAAACACTGCCATTTCTCTTATTCTTTTATTTATATTCCTTTAAAAACAAGGGTTGCTATGTTGCCCAAACTGACCAAAAACTCCCTGCCTCAGCCTTCTGTCTAGCTGGGTCTACAGGAACATGCCCCTATACCCAGTTTATATAGCATTATTAAAAATTCTGTTGTTGGTTATGTCACTTAGTGGTTGAATACATCCTTTGCATACATGAATTCTTAGGTTTGATCCTACTACTAATAACACAAACTTAAAAATGTATCTAAGAAGTGGCGCTGTGGCTCAAGCAGTAGAGCACTCATCTTGAGCTGAAGAGCACAGGGACAACACCCAAGCTCAGAGTTCAAGCCCCACAACCGACCAAAAAAAGAAAAATGTAACTAAGACAAAAGTGAGAGCCAAACTTCCTAATTCCTAATTTTCACTATATTTTATTATCTCAAGTCTTGGAAATGTTTTGCAAGGTCTATACTCAACAATATGTGCTACTCATCTTTTTTTTTTTTTTTTTGCCAGTCCTGGGCTTGAACTCAGGGCTAGGCAGTCCCTGAGTTTCATTTGCTCACAGCTTATACTCTACCACTTGAGCCACAGGACCACTTCCAGCTGTGTATGTGGTGCTAAGGAATTGAACACAGGGCTTCATGCATGCTAGGCAAGCACTCTACCACTAAGCCACATTCCCAGCCCATACTTATCTTTTATGGTACTAATTTATTTTAGTTTTTGGCAGTGTGGGGCTTGAACTCAGGACCTGGTTGCTATCCCTAAGCTCTTTCCCTCAAGGCTAGCATTCTACCACTTTGAGCCACACCTCCATTTCCAGTTTTCTGGTAATTAATTGGAGATATGACTCTCATGGACTTTCCTGCCCAGGGCTCTGAACCACACTCAGACCTCAGCCTCCTGAGTAGGTAGAATTACAGGTATGGGCCACCAACACCTGGGCATCAGTAAATATTTTAAATAAACAACTTCCATGAGCTGACTTAAATGTTTTAAATATTACTACCTTTAGCCCACTTTCTCAGCTAAGTCCAGACCCTCCTTAGCTATTCTATAACATCTTGAACTGTAACTTAGTGACAGTAATAGTCTCTCTAGTTGTATTAGGTTTGCCTTCCCTGTGGACCTCCCTAAGTCAAGCACTGTGTCTGCTCACTGTGGTATCTCCAAAAGTTAACAAAGGCAAGTAAAAAAGTAAGAAAGCTCCGTTTCTTTCCTGGCATCGCTTCCACTGCTCTGGTATGCCAGGATGTTAAGCCATGCCCTTCATCAAAAACTCCTTCCTATGTGTTGTATTCAGGTCAACAGGAGAGGTGAATCCATTTACCTTCATAACCGAGCCAACTGGGTGACTGTAGGCATGTGTTCTTCCAGTCCCACTAACAAGATCCCCAACGTGATGCTGCTGGCATATCTGACATCTGGTACTGAAAAAGATAAGGGACCCTTCTTCAAAAGTCTCCTGACATCACCACCTCCCTCTAAAGCAAAGCTGGTTCTTACCAGGTGAGTCACAGAGAAGAGTCACAAATCCCTCTGAGCCAGGTACCCATAGCTTTCCTCCTGTAATTCTAGTTACTGAGAACACTGAGGCCTAGAGGATTGAAGTTCAAAGCCAGCCCAGTCAGAAAAATTCCACCATTCCCATCTCTAACAAAAAGTGGAGCTCAAAGCTGGAAGCATGGCTCAACTAGGCGAGTGCCAGCCATGTGCAAGAAAGCTGAGAAAATGCGTGAGGACCTGAGTTCAAGTGGCCTAAGTCAAGCACTATGTCTGCTTGCTGCGGTATCTCCAAAAGTTAACATATGCAAGTGAAAAAGTGGATGCATCATGCTTCGGTTCCCTTTCCATAGTGGCACTATCTACATACATCAGAATATCTTAGAAAATATCTTTATTCCTGTGGAGCTGAAAACAGAAATACAGATGAAATTGCTTTAAAGGAGAACCCTGCTATAAATAATAGTAACATTAAAGTGTGGGAAAGTAGCTTGTGACAAAGGCAGTCAAACAGAAGCTAGCTAATAATAATACAAATTTAAAAAGCAACATAACAGGAGCTGAAGAATCATAATAGCAAGCTACCTCTCCCATCAGCATCCATCAGAATTCTCAGCCACTCACTTGCTCTAGAATCTTTTCAAGATACTTCTCTAAGCCTAGACTAGTTAGGATTACTTAAAATGACAATTTCTCTGTAAGGAGTTGATGTTCTGATTTGTTTCTAAGTACATCAGAGTCTCTGGTACGTATCTAAGATGAGAGAACTCTCAGGAGTTTCCTCCCAGACCTAAATGGGACACAAGCCTGTTTTCCTGAATCTCACTCTTCAAGCTGCTACAAAATACAAAGGGACTATATGTTTGTCGTTTCTATTGATACTGTTCCATTTGCATTTGTTTGCAGGTTTCTTCCTCTGCAGTTTTTGACTCTTTCTGTGCATGATGCTAAGAATTTTCGCCTCAAAGTAAAGCTAGTAAGTGGCCGTGTCTACTATTTGCAGCTCAGTGCCCCTGTAAACAAACAGGAGGCCTTATTTTCCCAATGGGTGGACCTCATCTCTGTCCTGGATCAGGAGAAAGCTAAAGCCCCCAAAGTGCCAGAAGGCTCCAGCACCTCTGAAGGCACAAACAGCACAGAAGCCACAGGCTCAGGGGACATCATGGATATTACAACGTGCACGGGTCTGCAGAGCCCCTTCCTGTACACGTATACAGACCCCTCCCACGTATCAGGGAGCATAGATTTCTCAGAAACCACCGACATCACTGATGTCACCGATGTCACTGACATTCCAGAAAGTGAGCACCCAGAAATGCCAGATGTAAGAATTGTCACAGAAGTCACAGAAGTTGTAGACACCACAGAAGGCACAGAGATTCCTGATAACATGAATGTCTCAGAGGTCACGGTGGTATTTGAAAATGATGACATAATAAGGGCAAAACAAGAAGAGAACTTACGTAACATGGAAGACTTTAATGTTTTAACAATCAAGCACTGGAGCAACCGCCAAGATCATAGTTCTCAGGTAGCTGACATTGATGATAAAAAATGCTATGGAATTTAATCTGAGTTACACAATGTTAACCATGAGATCCAATCTCTAAATCCTAGTAGTAAAGGAGTTGTAAGATATCTCCTGAAACATGACCCCTTCTTACCATTGAACTTAACCTGCCATCAGTGTGATGGAGAAAGCTAGGATCAGAAGACCTGGGATAGAATCTTGACCTTGAACATCAGTTGTATAAATAGCTAAATCAGTAAACTGACAAGAGAGCACAGTTTGCTCATCTCTAAAATCAGGATATTAATATACTGTCAGGGTTATTGTTAAGGTTGAACTGGGTATAGAAGTGCTCAGGACCTGAAAGATTAGTATGAAATTTCAGTAAGAAAAGGTAAGGGTGGAAACTGGAAAATAAAAAAAGTGACTGGCCTTAGAAAAGGTCAGAAGTAGGTAAACACAGAGCCACAGGATGTTTAATTCTGAGAATTAAACATTCTTGAGTCTAAGTTAGCTTATTGAGGTACTGCCATAGTATCTGGCAAGCAACTGGAGAAATTTGTTAAATAAATTATTACTCTGCAGTTATTTTTTTTTTAAGTTGAAGTATGTTTCTTGGCTGGGAAAAATGTTCATGATATAAACTTGAGTGAAAAATGAAGACTATATTTTCTAATGTATAAAAATACATTTTTTCATATGTATGCTCAAAGAGAAAAAAATACATATTGTCAGGGCTGGGAAGGTGGCTCAGTGGTAGAGTAGTTGCCTTGCATGGATGAGGCCCTGGGTTTGATTCCTCAACACCACATAAGCAGAAAAAGCTGGAAGTTGTGCTGTGGCTAAAGAAGTAGAGCACTAGCCTTGAGCTGAGGGACAGTGCCCAGGCCCAGAGTTCAAGCCCCACAACTGCCAAAAAACAAAAACAAAACAAAACAAAAATAGAGATCTCTATTTTGGTCTGGGAAGGTGGCTCAGTGATAGAGTGCTTGCCTTGCATACATGAGGCCCTGGATTCGATTCCTCAGTACCACATATGCAGAAAAAGCCAGAAGTGGCACTGTGGCTCAAGTGATAGAGCATTAGCCTTGAGCTGAAGAGCTGAGGGACAGCGCCCAGGCCCAGAGTTCAGGCCCCATGACCAAAAAAACAAACAAACAAACAAAAAACAGCCACATATTGCTTATTTCTAGACTATAGGATTACAGATAGTTTATGTCTTACTTCCAAATTCTGTTTCCTAATGTAAAAGGGTAGGGGGGTGAGAGTGCCAGTACTAGGACTTAAACTCAGCCCCATACTCCCTCTTGGCTTTCTAAGCCAAAGGTGTTACTCTACCCTATGAGTCATATCTCTACCTCTGAATTTTTCTAGTTAATTGGAAATAAAAGTCTCAGGGAATTTTCTGCCCAGGCCCATTTCAAATTGCATCCTCCAGATCTCAGCCTCCTGAGTAGCTAAATTACAGGTATGAGCCACCAAGACCCAGAAAGTAGTTTTTATTCAGGAAAAATTCAAGTAGTTGTGTACAATTTCTAATGACAGGAAGAAGAGGTTTATAATAATAAAAATGTTCAGTAAAAATGTACACAGCAGAGGTTAGGGGCATGGCTAGCCAATAAATGAAAGTGTCAGGTACTGAAATCAAGTCCTGGCCTCGGACCTAAAAAAAAATTGTAAGCAAAACTTCAAAATGACCTCAAAGAACACAAAAGTAAACACAAAGTACACAAAAGGAATAAATAGAAAAAGACTCAGCTAGCTAGAGGAGCAGCTATGTCTGGGCAGCAGCATCCTGTAAAGAATATTTTCTACTTTTTACTTCTTCACTCCTCAAAGGACTTTCGAAACTTACTGCGTTTAATAAGTATGCAGTAAGTTTCCTGTCAGAAAATACACTTTATCTTTATGGGATTACATTGCTGCAATATGTTCAAGGAAGCAATTGAAGGAATGCACTGGGTGTGGCCACAGGAGGAGGAAGGAACAGTGGTAAGGAGCTCCAGAGAGACAGGCCTGCCCACTGGCTGAGCCATTGCTCTGAGGCCTCAGTGAGACATTCTGTTACAGTCAGTGACTGGGACAGGTAGCATACTGACAGGAACCAGGATATTAAGAGACAGACAGATTTTAAATTTTAAGTACAGGGCTGGGCGCCGGTGGCTCACAACTGTAATCCTAGCTACTTAGGAGGCTGAGATCTGAGGATCATGGTTTAAAGCCAGCCCAGGAAGGAAAGTCCGTGAGATTTTTATTTCTAATCAACGACTGCAAAACTGGAAGTGGCACTGTGGCTCAAGCGGTAGAGCACTTGCCTTGAGCTGAAGAGCACAGGGACAGCGCCCAAGCCCAGAGTTCAAGCCCCATGACCGATCAAAAAAATAATTTTTTTTTAAGTACAGGTTCTAAGACTTTGTAAAACTTCTTTAGTATTATAAGTTAGCCACTCTCAATTAAGAGCAACCTCACATTGGACAGTAGGTGAGACAAGGCCTTTTGGGAAAAACCTTAAGGAGTGCTATAATGAGTGCTGATTGTCTGTGAGGTGACACTGCATACATGACAAGATGAACTTTTGAATGTGCCATCAGCTTTGAATTCCCAAGTCCCTCCCTCTAATGCCAGCCTGGCCTCTTTCCGTTGGCATACAGCAACCTCTGGGTTTCTGCTACTGGACCCAGGCACCCACCACACTCAGTAAATACAAATTAAGTGATGAGTGGATGAAATACTGCTCCACAAACAAGCCATTGCTGTGTTATGTGCTTTTTTTTGGTCTGGTCATGGGGCCTGAACTCTAGGCCTGGGCCCTGTCCCTCAGCTCTTCAGCTCAAGGCTATTGCTCTACCACTTGAGCCACAGTGCCACTTCCAGCTTTTTTTTTTTTCTGCTTATGTGGTGCTGAGGAATCGAACCCAGGGCCTCATGCATGCAAGGCAAGCACTCTACCACTGAGCCACCTTCCCAGCCCTGTGTTACGTGCTTTTATTACCTGACTTGTTTCTGCTTATTCTCTTCAAGGAAAAAATTGAAAATATCTTGAAACATGGATGTCTACGAAATACAAAAAGTAAAACTGAAATAAGGGACACAAAACATGTTACCATCTCAAACATAACACTGACTTTCCAAGGTGAAAAATGTTTTCAGACTACACTGACTCCTCCAAAACATGAAGGAAAGAAACACAAAGATGACATCCCTGAAGAAAAGAGAGCTGATTTTAAAAAGAAAGTTTCCAAGGCTGCAGAATCTAGGTAAGTAGGGCAGGAAAAGGTGGGGATTCTAAGGCTGTGGTAATGTAAATAGGTATATGCTTCAATGGCCCTGGGATGTCAGACTCTGAATATTCTCAGGTAGAGAATATTCATTTCATTCAACCTTGGTTAATTTTTATTTCCACACCAGATGCTTACACCCCTTGGTATTCTGGTTACCAACCTGGTGCCAATTCTATGTGCTTTAGTAAATATCACAAAATCATATTTTGAAGTTAAGGCATTGAGTCTTATACAAATGGTGGGTAGTTTTTTCCTTTCTTTTCTTTTCTTTTTTTTGTCAGTAGTGGGGGTTGAATTCTGGGCGTAGGCACTGTCCCTGAGGTCCTCAGCTCAAGGCAAGTGCTCTACCACTTGAGCCACAGCACCACTTTGGTTTTCTAGTGGTTAATTAGAGATAAGAGTCTCACAGACTTTCCTGATGGGGAGTAGCTTTGAATTGCAAGCCTTAGATCTCAGCCTCCTGAGTAGCTAAGATTACAGGCATGAGCCACCAGCACCCAGCTTTCTTCAGTTTTTATGCTTCTTATATTTTCTTCTTTCTGCATTTTCTATGGATCCCTTTTATTTCTCTATACTGCCAACAATAATCTGAAAGAATCATTTTCATAATTTCAGGAGCTTTTCTACAAAGTTAATTATAAGCCAAATGTGAGTGAGCATAAAGTGTTATAACGATGAAAGGGAATCTGATCATTTTGGATTAACATCTAAAAAGAAACCTATCTAGGGGCTGGGAAGGTGGCTCAGTGGTAGAGCGCATGCCTTGCATGCCAGAGGCCCTGGGTTCGATTCCTCAGCACCACATAAGCAAAAAGAAAAAAGCTGGAAGTAGCGCTGTGGCTCAAGTGGTAGAGCGCTAGCCTTGAGCTGAAGAGCTGAGGGACAGCGCCCAGGCCCAGAGTTCAGGCCCTATGACCGGACCCAAAAAAAAAAAAAAAACCTATCTAAATGCATATATACGGCTGAATGTGATGTTCATGCCTATCGTCCCACCTACTCTAGTCTAAGGGAGGAGGCTCCTTTGAGCCAAGCAGTTCCAGAATAGCTTGGATAACAGCAAAACTGCATTAAAAGAAAAGATTAGTAAAAATGAAAATGAGAAATGTAATTCATTATCCACTTTTTTAAATGCATAAAAGAGAGTGAGACAGAGAAAGTGAAGCTGAGCACCAGTATTTCACATTTATAATCCTACCTACTCAGGAGACTGAGATCTAAGGATCATGTTCAAAGTCAGCCCAGGCAGGAAAATCCATGAGACATTTATCTCTAATAATTATTCAGAAAAAGCCAGTGCTGTGGCTCAGATAGCCTGGAACACAAAGAAGCCCAGGGATAGCACCCAGACCCTGAGTTCAAGCTCCAGGACCAACAACAACAACAACAAAAAGAGGATGGGTATAGAGCTAGAGCAATTGTCTAGCATGAACAAAACCCTGGGTTCAATCCTTAGCACTTAAAAAAAATGCACTCAGGAATATGTGCATATGTGTTTAAGAACAGGAAGACAAGAAAAATCAATGGAAATATGAAATTAACTAGAAAATTCTTAAATAATTTGAAGTATTGAATAGATCTTATTTGATTCTTCCAAAAGAACAACTAAAGACAGTTTTAAGGGTAGGGCAGTACTGAGGTTTGAACTTATGGCCTCATAGTTGCTAGTCAGGAGCTCTACCACTAGAGCCACACTCTATCCCTTTTTGCTTTAGTGCTTTGTTTTGCTTTGCTTTTCAAATAGGGCCTCTTGTTTTAATCAAGAACAGCCTGGACTTTGATCCACCTACTAGTACTTTGTACCCAGCTGGGATAACAGGCAGAATCCACCGTACCCAGCTTATTGACTGAGATGGGATTCTTATTAATGTTTTGCCCAGACTGGCCCTGAACATTAGCCTCCTATCTCTGGCTCCTATGTAGCTAGGATTATAGGCATGAATCACCAAGGGATAGCTGTGTTTTTATTTTTAAGATTAAAATTGAAAGCTTCAAAGATTAGTCAAAATGTTATCAAGGAAGATTATGTTCAATTTTGCTTATTAACTTGGAAACTTTAAATCAAGTAAAAGGACAAAAATGGCCTAACAGGCACAATCAGAAACTAGGAACTTGAAAAAATAGAAAATAAATTGTCGGAGCTACAACTGAAGAATATGTGAAGAGGGAAGGAGAGAGAGAAAGGTGTTACATAGGTAGTCAAGAGCAGCATCTCTGAAAAAACACAAATTTGATCAGAGAACTGAAAAAATAAGTTCTGTAAGAAAGACTTCCAAGCTGTATAACAATTACAAATATCTTCTAAATAATTTTACATACATACATGCATGCATAATAAGAGAATAGGGAAAGAATACATTAGCTTTATGGATAAAGTAACTGACAAGATTTTGTAAAAGATTCAATTCACAAATGATTTAAGGACAGGAACAGTAAATTTACCCCATAGACTAAAGTTGAAGGGGAGGAATTAGCCTCATGAATAATAAAGAAAGATAAGTTAAGCAACAATCAATAGGCATTTTGCTGGATGTTCCTACACTCAGGCTGCCACTAGAGGGACGGGAGCTTTCTGTAGAGTCTTCACATTGTATGCCTTGACTCAAAATCCTACCAAAATCGAGGGCAAGGAAAGCAAAAGGAACATAACTTAAGAGACCCACAGCCATGAAATCAGAGGAATGTTTGTTTAAGCTCCTAGGCAAGGCACTTCTCCTCCATACCACAGCCTCTAGGTGTAAGTCCTGATTGTCTGCTCAGGTGAGACATTATTTGATATCTAGGGTTCCCGCACTGGTTCTCCAAGGAGGGTTGCGGGACCTGCTGCAGCATAACAGTGTCACTTGAGGACTTGTTAGAGGTGTAAGTTCCTCAAGCTCCACACCATTTTACTGAATAATAAACTCTGGTGATGGAGCATGATGTTCTGAGTTTTGATACTCTTCTACATTATTCTAATGCATGCTGAATTTTGAGAATTATTGCCTTACTGAGAAGCCAATCCTAATTAAAAGTGAGTTTAGCAAGGGTTCTTCTCTCCTGAGTCCTCAGGGTAAAAATAAGAATTTCCTCTTTAAGCTGGGTGCTGGTCATTCACGCCTGTAATCTTAGCTACTCAGGAAGCTGAGATGTGAGAATCATGATTTGAAGCCAGCCCAGGGAAGGAAAGTCCATGATCTCCACTAAAGTACTCAGAAAAAGCCAGAAGCAATGCTATGGTTCAAGTGGTGGAGTGCAAAAAGAAGCTCAGGGAAGTGCCCAGACCCAGAGTTCAAGCCCCAGGACTGGCAAAATTATAGCCATAGGAAGAAGAACCATCAGCTCACATTTAAGGGAGCCTTGTAGGAATCTTCCCATGTAACCAGGAGCTAACATTGCTGTTTTCACTCACAGATACTGTCCTATATTGAGAGCCCAAAACTAACTGAACTGCAGATGTGTCCCCCTCCCCTCCCCTCCTTTCCCCTCCCCTCCCCTTCCCTTCCCTTCTATTTTGTTGCTGAGCACTGTGAATCCAGGGGCAGTACTACTGAGCTACATTCTCAGCCTTATTTTTTTTAATTTTGAGATAGAGCCTCACTATTTTGCCAGGCTGGCCTCAAATTTGTAATCATCCTACCTTAGCCTCTCAAGTTAGGATTATAGATAATGTGTGCCACCATCAGTGACCAGACCACTGATCTATTATTTCTTTCTTCTTTTCTTTTTTGCACCAGTACTGAGGCTTGAAGTCAGGGCCTGGGTGCTTGCCTATAGCTTTTTTTTTTTTTTGAGGGGGGGGGGATGTCCAGTCATGGGGCCTGAACTCTGGGCCTAGGCTCTGTCCCTCAGCTCTTCAGCTCAAGGCTAGTGCTCTACCACTTGAGCCACAGCGCCACTTCCGGCTTTTTTCTTTTTGCTTATGAGGTGCTGAGGAATCGAACCCAGGGCCTCATGCATGCAAGGCAAACGCTCTACCACTGAGCCACCTTCCCAGCCCCTTGCCTATAGCTTTTTCATTCAAGGCAGGCACACTCTATCACTTGAGCCAGAGTTCCAGTTCTACCTTTTTGATGGTTACTTGAAGTTAAGAGTCACACAGATTTTCCTACTTGAGCTGGCTTTGAACCATGATCCTTAGATCTCAGCCTCCTGAGTAGCTAGAATTACAGGCATAAGCTACCAGTTCTGGGGCCTTAACTTTTTTTTAACATTAAAAATCACAAAAGAAAGGGTGACATTATCCAAAGATAAATACTCATTACCTACTTATGTAACTGTAACCCCTCTGTATATTACCTTTATAATAACAATAAAATTAATTACAAAGACAAAATTTTAGGATGCACACTGCTCTGCAAGTGATATTTTGTTATTGTCATGATTACAATCACTATTAGAAATGCTGAGAATCCATGCAAATAGAAAAAAATCATAGAATTTAAAAATATGAAGTATGTTAGAATCCAACAAATCTCAAATTACTAGACCCTGTCCTTTAGCTTCCTATGCCATTAATCCACTGACTTTGCTGGAGCCCCCCCCCCCAATTATTCTAAATAATCCTCTTAAATTCAACTTAACCCACGTAGGAACATAATGACTAGTTGGAATCTAATTTGAGAATGTTAATTACAAATGAAAGATGTTATACTCTAGGAGCAAAATGGAATTCATCGACGCTTAATTCCAGGGACATTTGTAGAACTTAAGACAATGAGGTTGATGAAAAGTCCCGTATTCTTCTTCTTCTCTAACAGTAACACTTCAATAACACTTCATACCTGTGTACTTTGAATACTGAAAACAAAACTAAGCAATGACCTTGCTGAATATTTTACTGTTTCACTAGATTTTAAAATGTAAACAATTTAAATCTAGATTGAAACAAAGGTGATAGAAACTTAAAATTCTACTCTGCCACTTTAGGTCTTTTAAAAATGAAGAATTTATAACACATTATAATCCTTCTCTTACCTCAACAATAGTGTTGCCATGAC